ACAGTTATTGCACGTATTGCACCAACAGATTGATTTGTGATCCATGCGAATGTGATCAACCACTCTGGCGAAAACTCGCCGAGCGTGGCAACCGTGCGACTTTGTCTGGAGGCTCGTCGCTACAAGCCAATCAGGAAGAGGCCGACAGAGCGCCATGGCTACCGATCACGCGTTGATCACGAATCAACCACTGTTTACGATTACTTTGTAGCTTCGTTAGATACACTTTAGTAATGGTGCTGTTGGACTTGATAGATATGACAAGAATAGTGAAAGCAGCCACAGGAAATATAGAGAAAGATGAGGATGTGAGAAAGGAAAGTGTTGTTGCAAATAAGAACTAGTAGGCAGCAGACAAGTATCCAAAACTGACAGAATTCTTTAAAAACTATCTATCATCACCAAATGGCAGTATTTACTTTAAAAGATACGTCTTTGAAGATATGAGGAAAAGCTGATATCTTTGTTATAAACAAACGCTGACATTTAATATCATTCATCACAACTTACCGCTAATGAATATATACAGGATGTTCCAGAAAAACGTGCCAATATTTATAGAAAGTACATACAAAAATAACAATAAAAATACGGGTACTGTCACTGGCCTTTTCGGAGGAAAGAAAACGTCTAAACTCTCAACTCAGTACCTTTACTCGTTCCGTAGATATATTTTTTTTCAATTTCGTAAATAAAACTTTACCACCCTGTATCTCGGAAGGGGATCTTTGGACCCATATGTATGGGAACTGTTTTTGTTTCTGGATGTAAGTATGTACTGTCTACTCTAGAAACATTGACATGTCTTGATGAAACACCCTGTATTAATTGCAATACATCCTGGTGAAAATATTAATGTTTGAAAGATATGTGTGGTAGTTTTCCAATGTTCGACGAATTGGTTCCGAATATTCGCAGTAACTACCCCGACTATCCTATAAATGCACGAGCTCCAATCGTTTTTCTGCTTCCATCACGTAGCACAGCGCTAGGGCGCAATATTTCACCTGATTTTATCATGGCAAGCAGTGGCTCGAGCGAAATATTACCAAGTAAAGGTCGGCTCGAACCAGACCGATACACCGACATTGCAGCCAAAGCTTACGAATTGCGAATAGTTAGCTCACACTCTATTTCCGAAGTCGGACCTCGTCGCTTCGGCTCTCGGCGATGGATAAGAAAATCCCGCAACCAGCAACGCTGGGACCTAGAAACGGTGGTCCTTCCATCGCTTAGCTGCTCTGTGTGAACGTTTTAAAGTTCCGTTGAGGTGATCTTTCAACTTCGGGAAGAGAAAAAAAGTGTTTTTACTGGCCTTCCACTTCATAGTTCATCTTCAATGCAAATGCCTTAAACCGCCGCAAAACCTCGGCTCTTGACAAAAGACTAGCTCCTGCTGAAGTTTAGCAAGAGTTTTTGATGTCACTCGCTTTTAGGACACGATAGGAAAAACTGTTTCGTAAGACATTTCAATACCACGTGTCCACAAAAAACTAACTAATAAATCGAACTAAAGCATGAAAAATAAATAATATACTAAGTGACATATAAATCCGAACACCCAGTTTAAATGGTTTTATTTTAATAAAAGTTTGGTGAATGTATTTATCTTACTGTAAATAACAAGTGAAAAAATTTTCAGCCTTATCAGTTGGACATTCCGGTTTTTATAATGCTTTTTTTTAATTCACTAACGCTCTAAAAATGAATATTTCAGCCGCAGTAAAGAATCAACGTTGGCGGATTTTGGTTCTTGACATCCTTTACGATCGGTTACGATGCCTAGAGTACGGAGACCTGTACGATTTCGTCAACTTAGTGAGATTGATAGGGGCCGTATAGTGGGACTTCGGGAAGCTGGACTTTCTTTTCGGGCAATTGCAGTTAGAGTGCAAAGAAGTGTAGACACTGTGGTTAGGTGTTGTCAGGCATGGCTTCGAGAAGGCCGTACGCAAAGAGCAAGGGGCACTGGACGCCGCCGTAGAACTACAGACCGTGAAGATCGCCGCCTAAGATTATTGGCCTTAAGGGACCGTTTCTCCACTACCAGGTCCATTGCAAATGAATGGTTTGCAGAACACGGAAGACCTATTGGCATGCGACGTGTTTACCGACGAATGAGAGGTTTTGGCTTGTTTTCATACCGGCCACACTGGGTCCTCCCTTTAACTCGAGAACACCGACGTAATCGCCTTGAGTGGTGCAGACAACCGTCACTCTGGGATCAGGAATGGAACAGTATTGTCTTTAGTGACGAGTCTCGATTTTGTTTAGGCATGCATGACGGTCGTGCCAGGGTTAGAAGGCGACGTGGTGAAAGGAGGAATCCACAGTTTTTTGTTGAAAGACATGTTCATCACACTGTTGGAGTTATGGTTTGGGGTGCTATAGCTTATGGTTCCAGGTTACCTTTAATCTTCATCAGAGGTAACATGAACGCACAGCGTTATATCCACGAAGTTCTAGAACCCCATCTTTTAACCTATCTGGACACCCTGGCAGATCTAACATTCTACCACATGTTGCAAGAGTCACAATAGATTTCTTTTAACATAATGATGTCACATTGTTACCATGGCCACCAAGATCTCCCGACTTATCCCCAATTGAGCACGTGTGGGATATGATGGGTAGGAGATTGCTCAATTTGCAACGTCCTCCTCAGACTCTAAAAGCACTTCGAGAGGAGTTGGTGGTTGCCTGGAATGAGATACCACAGGAGGACATTGACCACCTGATCAGAAGCATGCCTAGGCGCGTTGGAGAATGCGTAGCACATCAGGGTGCATACACATTATTAAAGGTGAAAGGGCTTTAAAGCAGTGCAATCATTTTGAAATTTTTATCATATACTTATTATGCTTCATTAAGTACTTATACAAAATTTTATTAAAATAAAACCATTTAAACTGGGTGTTCGGATTTATATGTCACTTAGTATAGTTTAAAAAGTCCAAAAAACACGCTTCTATAGCGAACCGAACTAAAAAGTATAAAGTAATCCCTAATTACAAGTTAGGTAGGGTCCAGTAGTTCTTCTATTTTTGTCTGATAGTCTACTTTGTTCAGGACTACGGTGGCGTTTCCTTTGTCAGCCGGTGGAATCACTATTTCGTTATCGGCCTTAATCAATTTTATGAGCAAACTGACGGCGTCGCAATGGGAAGTCTGCTAAGCCCGGTAATAGCCAATTTCTACATGGAAAAGTTCGAGGAAGCAGCACTGAACACCGCCCCCTAATCGTCCCAGTTGTTGGCTACGTTATGTGGATGATACCCCAAGATCAAATTCACAATGGAGATAGAAGAGGACAATCAACTGGCCTTCCTGGACGTATTGGTGGTCAGACTAGATAACTTAAACCTGAGTCACATAGTTTACCGCAAAGCAACCAACACTGACAAGGACTCCAACCATCACCCTGGACAAAAAAGAGGTGTCATTAAGAATCTGCTAGACAGGGCACACCGAATTTGTGAACCTCAATACCTGCAGGAGGAACTGGATCATGTTAACATGGTTTTATAAGCGAACAGCTATAGCAGGGAACAAATAAAACAGGTTTCACGACAAAAAAGCAGACCACCGGCAGGAGACAAGGAACCACCTCCTTTGTACCATACATTAAAGGCATTACGAATAGAATAGGAAGGCTGCTTCAGAAACAACGTCAAGACCATCTACAAGCCGACAACAATTGCAAACATCAGCAAAGGACCGTAGGAACCCCCTGAGCGATGCCGGCGTATACGGAACACCGTGTTTCTTCAAGGATCATGAAATAAATTGTCGACTGGGGCAAACTGATAAATCATCGGTGGCCGAACAAGCACTCCAAGACGGTCACAATGTTCTGAAGTCCTATCGACATCCACCCGCTACTCAGCGCGAATGTACAGAGAATCAATTGAAATCTTCAAACACAATGATAATTTCAACAGAAAAGAAGAAGGCCTCGCTTTGAGCAAAACGTGGTTCCCAATTCTAAAAAACGCGGCGCGAAAACCGCGTCACTCAAGCGACCTGAGTACCCCCACCAGACGGCTCAGTCGTCAGTCCGCCGATCCCCTATAAAACCGCGCGCCCATCCAGTTGACCGATTAGTTTCAGCGGACCCACCGAGCCGAGCACTTCGCTCTCGCCGACAACGCCACTGAAGGTGGCTACCGCAGATGTAGTCGCAAGTTCTGGATCAAATTCAACCCGACCACGGCTCAACCTAAATGACATCCAAAATTATTTTCTACTTTTTAGTTCGGTTCGCTATAGAAGCGTGATTTTTAGACTTTTATTTCCTCTTTTTTTCCTTGAAATTGTCTGGTTTCTGGGCAACCAGGACTGAAAGATTCCACTAACATTCATTAGACAGTGACTAATGGGCAAACGTCTAAGCCCCGTATCGTCAGTCGTCCCTACAATTGTAGAGCGCCTTTATGGCCTCCTTGACTGTCAAAGTTTTCTACTTCTCCGTGTCAGAAGTCTATTTTGAGGTTATGTCACAAACATCTATTTGCATCAAATTGTGCTTGCTTTTGAGTTATATCATGTTTTATCAGCCTGAAATTTCCTACAATTTAAAAAGAAAACATATCTTCACAATAGGAGCGCGCTGACGCTGACACGGGACAAGTGTAATCTAGATATTTTTGAAGGAGAGAACAATTGTAGGGCGCCTTTATGGCCTCCTTGATTGTCATAGTTTTCTACTTCTCCGTGTCAGCGCTCTATTTTGAGGTTATGTCACAAACATCTATTTACATCAAATTGTGCTTGCTTTTGAGTTATATCATGTTTTATCAGCCTTAAATTTCCTACAATTTAAAAAGGAAACATATGTTATCTTCACAATAGGAGCGCGCTGACGCTGACACGGGACAAGTGTAATCTAGATATTGTTGAAGGAGAGAAAGGAGTATGACAATCAAGGAGGCCATAAACGCGCCCTACAATTGTAGGGACGACTGACGATATGGGCCTAAGACAAGCAAAGTACGAATAGACCGCATGCCGATGAGGAAAAACTGGTTTGACCGTGGGTGCGCTTACTACCAATATCCGTATACTCTGGTGCATCAAGCAATTATTCAAATACCTTCAACTATAAATACCTTAGCACGGTGGGATTCGTGCTGCTGCCAATTCCTTTTGGCTCTGACTTTGGGTCTGCCCGCTCGCTCTTTCTTTCCCTATCTTTCTACATCGTCGTCCCGTCCATTTTTCAACGAAAATAAATCGCTTTTCGGGTGACAGTGTGTTTCCGGAACGATTTACACGCTATTGTCGACCGATTTGACGGGCTTATTTCGTCTCGATCAGGTGCCAAGCTTACGATCGGCCATATTCGTCATTAGTATCTGGTGAAAACGCCTCTTCGGGAGGTAGGATAATACACTGCTATGTAGAAACATATTTGAGAAGATAATAGTGACGAATAGCCTGACGAGAAAAGTAAAAGTAACAAGCCTTTTCCCAGCAGCTGCCGCTATGACGCTTTTTCGTCAAGGTAGAGTACTGTGTTTTAGAAGCATTAAATTATAAGATTGTTGAATCCTCAAGCTGTGATAACGTCCAGGTTTTTTGTCAGAGAGGAGGTCACTGCTGGTCTTCTTTTCTCCAGTTCATCGGCAGATATTGGCTTGTCACTCTGAGCTCCTGCATGTAAAGTGCTGTCATCAGCAACGCTGTGGATTGGATTGGTCGTATACGAAACGAGGTAAGAGAAACAAGACCAGATCCCTGGAGAACACCCGCGTTGACGTTCTGGGATGAATAGGAGAACCGTCAATTACGACGGATATCTTGGCGGCCAGAGAGTGCCACTTGCAAAGCCTCTGTGGAAGGCCATAGTATGGAATTTTATAATTCACCATATCCATTAATATTTGGAAACACCTGCAATCGCAGCAAAAGCAGCATCCGCAGCAAGCAATCCGTGCGATTATTTCGCTTGTTGAGCGAGACGGAACCTGTTAAAATTCCCTCGCCGCATTTTCTATTCATCCGAGTCTGCACATCCAGGTGTTGTCATGCAGCGGGACAGAGACCGTGACGCGTGACGCTTGCCGTCTACGGCGCTAAAAGAAGGGATCTGCACAAAAGCGGCTTTGAAGGTGAATGCGACGGACGGATAGACAGACTGAGAAAAAGAACGACGGGCGAAGCGACGGGAACGTTAAACGGACCGGAAATGAATTGGAAGAGTGCCGGAGCTCGATGTTTAAACTTTCGCTGCTGCCTTTTAACTTATACTGTACACACTGACGGGGGACTGTTCTCGGTGGATATGGGGATGAAGATATAGAGTTTATCAAAAACGGAATCGGAGAAGTATGTTGAGAATGGCAAACATTTCTTTTGCAGAGATGTTTTACATTTCTTGTTTTGGCTCTATTAAAATTTTATTTCATTTCATCAATTCCACGCTAAAAGTAATGTTTAGAAATCGTCAGCTGCACATAAAAAACAAACATACAAATACACAATACGGGTGTCCGCATAGTTGGGGTTTTCCTTTCCAGAAACAACTACCCTTGAAATAACAAAGGTAATGTGTAGTGAAACGAGGGCGACCAAGTAAAAAAAAATAAAGGAAAAAGTACTCACTCTCCAGTTGACGAGAAGGGCTAAGTACGTCTCTGCCCGATATCATACCGCTCCAACAGAAAATGAAATCAGCTGATGCGCTACTGAGCAGACGCAGGCAAACAAGGAAAGCAAGATGTTGCGTAAAAAGTCTAGGTATTGCATCCCGTCCAATCGATTTGGGAGAATAAATGGTCCAATGAGCATACCGTTCACCATGCCAGCCCGAAAATGTTTGTTGAAAATGTGCCCGACGGACAGCGTGCGGATTTTCTACTGACCAAACATGAGTGTTGCGAAAGTTATTCACCCCATTACGCGTGAACGTAGATTCGTCTGTCACCAATATGCACTTCAAAAAGTCCGGATTATTGTCATGTTGATGCAACAACCCCTCACAAAACCGCACTCTTGCTGGAAAATCGTCTGATTGAAGGGCTTGTACACTTTGGGCGTGAAACGGATACAGCCCATCTTCACGCAGTGTTTGCCACACTTTAGTTTTTGATACTTGCACTTCTCTAGCCACGTCTCTAGTGCTTGCTGAGGGATTCTCGTCTACGCGATTACCTTTACACGCGTGACCGTAACCGTCGGTTGAAGGATGCATACTGACCTGAAACACTGACCCCGACCCAGTTCTGTCGTCGGGTTGAGCTAGTGTTCTAGTACCATTCGGGGATGTCGCGGCTACAGGACGGTATTCAGATATTTTTGATGTTGCAGAACCCTTTATCTCGGTTCCCTTAAGACATTGGTGTATATGGTATAGCTATGAAATGTTGAAAACGAAATACTGTCAAAGTATGAGATGACAACTTGTCATTGAAACATTACCAGCTTATTGAATATTAAGAAATTACATATAATTCAGTCAAAATTTTAAGAAATGTTTGATTTTTGAATTAAATTCATGTTTTAATTACTATTTTTGATTTTTTACTCATGTTTATATTATTTTCTTCAATTGATATGTGCTACTGGGTGTTTTTTCCTATAAACCTCTTGCAGATAGCCATTAAGCACCTACTTGATGACAGGCTCTACCAAAAGATAATGCTCGTTTCCTAACATTCATTCATTTACTTGCCGTTCATCAGAACCATTATGGTACCTTAGATTAGTATTTCCACAAAACCATTCAGGTTTTTTGATATCCATACATCCATAAAAATGAATATTTTTCGTTGTTCAGGAACTGAACAGAAATCCACATTATATTCACAGCGATTAAGAAATTCCCAAATAATAATAATAATAATAATATTTATTCACTCAATGTACAAAGATAACAAACAATATGAGTAAATAAATATAAAATCAAAACAGGCCCAATAGAAGGCATCGCCTGTACATGGACCAATAATTTAAGTTGAAACTGTAGAATGCAAATGACAAAAAAGGACAAAAATTAGCTACAGTAGATTATGTATTTAGTTGATGTTCGTATTTATGAGTTTATGAATTTCAGTCCTAGATATAGAATGTAGCCACTTTTTTAAATTTCTTTTGAAACAATTTCCGAAACGTAAATCTTTTAAGTCTTTAGGTATAATTTCATAAAATTTAGGCGCTAAATAGAGATATGATCGCTGCATTATAGATTTATGCGGTTGAGGAACTACTGTGCCACGAATTTTGTACCTGGTATAATGATTATGTTTAATTTTTTGGTTGGTGTTTACAAATTTATGGTAGTGAGTGATACTGTGTAAGAAATAAAGCTGTCTTATATCATACATTCGAACATCTGCGTATAATTTTTCAGTGGGATAAAGTTTCGGTTTTTTAAATATCATTTTTAGAATACTTTTTTGAAAAACATCTAAATTATAGATATGTGAGGAACATGCAGCTCCCGATGCTAATATACCATATGTGAGATGAGGCTCAATCAGTGCATGGTATAATGTTCGAAGATATTTTTCTGTCAATATATTCCCAAGGTATTTAATTTTGTAGAATACAAATCTTACTTTTTTTAAAATATAATTCACATGGATGTCCCATCGTAAGTGAGGATCCGAGACCACTCCAAGGTATTTTATGTTGGGCACTCTATTAATTTGCATTTTTTGATCATTAATATTGAAGGAGAAATTTGTGTAATTTGGCAGATGTCTAGCATAAGATCCAAAAGGTAAAAAATGTGTTTTAGAGTAGTTAATGCTTAATTTTCTGCTGTTAAACCTCCGAATAATTTTGATAAAATCATTTTCAATTACATTTTTCAGATCAGACCAGTCAGTGCCTTCATATAATATTGCAGTATCATCTGCAAAACTAGTTATTTTGCCAACACAATTAATTTGGAAAATATCATTTAAATATATATTGAATAACAGCGGACCTAAGACAGTTCCTTGTGGGACACCGCACTTAATATACATTTCTTTACTAAATGATCCTGATATCTGCACAGATTGTGGGCGATTTGACAAATAACTTTCGATCAGTGAGTACGCATTTCCTCTGAAACCAATTCTCTCCAATGCTTCTAATAATAATTTGTGATTAACTGTATCGAAAGCTTTCTTTAAATCAACAAAAATGCAGATTGAAGGGATTCTGTTATCAATATTTTGATGTATTTGATTTACAATTTTAGTTATTGCGTCCGATGTAGCCTTCCCTTCTGTAAATCCATATTGATTTTCATTTAAAATTTTGAATTTTGTGAGGTATCGAATCATTCTAGTAGATAAAACTTTTTCAAAAACCTTTGCTACACTGGATATTATTGATATTGGTCTATAGTTAACATCTGTTTTTGTTCCTGATTTATGTATCGGTATTATATTACCTTTTTTAAAATTGAGGGATATATGCCAGATTCAAAGCATTTGTTGATTAGGTAAGTGAGTGGTTTTGTTATGTCCTCGGCTATAATTTTCAAATGCTCGCTTTTAATACCATCGAACCCAGGACTTTTCCGATTTTTTAAGGACATAACAGTGGTGTATACTTCACATTGTTCGACTTTATCCAAAATAAATGAGTTCAAAGTTCTTTTTGGAGGCTGAGTATTTTGTACAGTTGCTTGTATATTACTTGCTAAATTTTCGCCTATGTCAGTAAAGAATTGTACAAATTCATCGCATATCTGTTGAGTATTTTTTAATACTGTTCCCGATGTTGTATTTAACTCAGTGACACACTCTTTAAATTTTGTTTTCCCAGTAATCTCATCAATAGTTGTCCAAAGCCGCTTAGGATCATTTAAGTTATTGTTCAATTTATTTAGGTAATGTTTTCGTTTGGTTTGCCTTACAAGCTCTATAAATTTATTTTTATATTGGTTGTAGCAGTCGGTATTCTCTGTAGTTGGCGTTATAATATATAATAAATATATGCCTTAAAGCTACCAGCAAACCTGAAACCTGCAAAAAAACTACAAATTTGCCATATTTTTCTTTTTTCACGAGTACACATTCCAGGTTATATTTATGTTAGACATTATTTGAATACAGCTGGTTATTGGTCCTGGATTTTTAGCACCTTAAAATCGCAAAAACCGCATAGTTTTGCAATTTTTCGCTAAATAATTAGTCCTGTATGATGTACACGCATTCAGTATTGGCAACCCAAAGAACGTGGAATAAAGGTCATTTGAACCGCATTTATAGCGTTTTAACGTAGAAACAAAAAGGCACAAAATGGGTCAGTCGGGAACGTAAGCACAACATGTCTTCTATACGCTTTTTGGGTCGCTGAAACCGAATCCATGGCCGATTCAGTCCGAAAATGCCTCGTTTTAGAGATACTGGCAAGAATTAAACTTTGCCAGAAAACGGCTAATAAAAACTATCGCACGTCTACGATCGAGATGAAAGCTTGCTTTCTAAGTAAATCGGGTGCGTAGATTTTGAATTCGATGTCAATACAGTGCCAGGATTTACGGCTAGCCCCGGAAAAATAGTTGTGAATTTTTCACCCTATATCCGGTCTGATGGCACAGGACCACAAAAGCTTGCGAATAAGCCTATATTTGCAACATCTCACGGAATACTAGCAAAACGGTAATGACTTTCTTTCGTCAATAATTGCCGGCGACGAATCTTGGTGTCATTAGTTTGAACCATCCAGTAAGCTGTCATCAAGCAATAAGAAGGAAACCTCCAGGGAAGTTCTCTCGTGGTGTCATTGTTCTGCACGACAATCCTCGATACATCTTAAATTCAAATGAAGAATCGACAAGACCTCTTTGTATTGATTTTTTCTTTTTTGTTTCAGGTGAGTATCTGTCAAACCAACTGGATTCTGGGTAAGGTTTCGTTCAAGGACTTTCCATTTCAACTGGCACAAGAACTTGTAATACAAAATTTTCCCGCAAAAAATAGGATATCCATAGACTCTTGTTTGAAATACTGTAATGTGTGACCAAGATAGATTTAATAAATAAGTACTCGGAATCTGACTCTGCCTTATACATTTTATTAAAATGTACAAGTCATCAAGTCTGAACAGTAATACTGGCCTTTTGTAATTAAAATAAATAAGCCGCGGTCTTTCTGCACGTGTAGTTGGGCATGAAGAAAATAATAAACGCAGAAAAGCCTCGACTTTCCTAGCTGCAATTTCGTCCATAATATACACCACTTAACCTACTGTTCCCTCACCTGTGGGCTTAATTACATTTTACTGCAGTAATTAAAATAAATCTTTTCCTCTAGCCGCGTAGAGCTTCACAGTGAATTATAAAACATGCTTAACATTTATGGATATAAACTTGAACATTCACAGCTATAATTTGCCTTCTTTAGATCTATATCAGCACTCACATTGTCTTATACCAACTATCTTAAGTTTCACTTAAGAAAAGGCAGTAGATTCATGCAGACTAAATAGTAACCTACGCTTTAAAAACCAATCGGTGCTATACTTTTAGTAGGTATAAGTAGCTATTCATATTACATACTAAGTGACATATAAATCCGAACACCCTGTTTAAATAGTTTTATTTTAATAAAACTTGGTGAATGTATTTATTTTCACTAACGCTCTAAAAATGAACATTTCAGTCGCAGTAAAGAATCAACGTTGGCGATTTTGGTTCTTGATATCCTTTACGATCGGTTACGATGCCTAGAGTACGGAGACCTGTACCTGTAGGGGCCGTATAGTGGGACTTCGGGAAGCTGGACTTTCTTTTCGGGCAATTGCAGTTAGAGTGCAAAGAAGTGTAGACACTGTGGTTAGGTGTTGTCAGGCATGGCTTCGAGAAAGCCGTACGCAAAGAGCAAGGGGCACTGGACGCCGCCGTAGAACAACAGACCGTGAAGATCGCCGCCTAAGATTATTGGCCTTAAAGGACCGTTTCTCCACTACCAGGTCCATTGCAAATGAATGGTTTGCAGAACACGGAAGACCTATTGGCATGCGAAGTGTTTACCGACGAATGAGAAGTTTTGGCTTGTTTTCATACCGGCCACACTGGGTCCTCCCTTTAACTCGAGAACACCGACGTAATCGCCTTGACTGGTGCAGACAACGGTCACTCTGGGATCAGGAATGGAACAGTATTGTCTTTAGTGACGAGTCTCGGTTTTGTTTGGACATGCACGATGGTCGTGCCAGGGTTAGAAGGCGACGTGGTGAAAGGAGGAATCCACAGTTTTTTGTTGAAAGACATGTTCATCACACTGTTGGAGTTATGGTTTGGGGTGCTATAGCTTATGGTTCCAGGTCACCTTTAATCTTCATCAGAGGTAACATGAACGCGCAGCGTTATATCTACGAAGTTCTAGAACCCCATGTTTTACTCTATCTTGACACCCTGGCAGATCCAACTTTCCAACAAGATAATGCCCGACCACATGTTGCAAGAGTCACAATAGACTTCTTTCAACATAATGATGTCACATTGTTACCATGGCCACCAAGATCTCCCGACTTATCCCCAATTGAGCACGTGTGGGATATGATGGGTAGGAGATTGCTCAATTTGCAACGTCCTCCTCAGACTCTAGAAGCACTTCGAGAGGAGTTGGTGGTTGCCTGGAATGAGATACCACAGGAGGACATTGACCACCTGATCAGAAGCATGCCTAGGCGCGTTGGAGAATGCGTAGCACATCAGGGTGCATCCACACATTATTAAAGGTCAAAGGGCTTTAAAGCAGTGCAATCATTTTGAAATTTTTATCATTTACTTATTATGCTTCATTAAGTACTTATACAAAATTTTATTAAAATAAAACCATTTAAACTGGGTCTTCGGATTTATATGTCACTTAGTATATAATCAAAGAACGCGAACCTGACGCCATTTCGATATAAAAGTCAAAGTCAAGGTCGATGTGAATTCAAGATTATTCCAAAAACTGTTGAATCGTTCATGCTCGATCCGTCGGTGTGTTTTGAACGTGAAGAAGCCCAACCTTGCACGCCAACTTGGTGGAAAATATCGAGAATGTAAACCGTACAACAATCCTCGTCTTCGTGATTGTGATTGGACGATTTAACACCGACCCAGTTTCGAAGTAACGTCGTTAACGTTGCTGAAGTTACATCTACTATCATCGTGCTTTCCGAATCGGAAACTTCTCCCCTTATCTTGAGCAGTCACATAAATAACGGAAAGTCTCCGACAGAGGACAAAATCCGACGCCCTTCAGGGCGATTGAGCGACTCAATTGATGCGGCTGTGATTAACAGCAACTTTTCGATACCATATCGCTACTTGTACAGGGTGTAAACGTTATGATGGTCATTATTTAAATGGGTGACTTTGAAGTGAAATAAAATCTGACGACGCCGCAATGTCAGACGCAAATTACCACGGAACGATGATGGAGTTTGTTATTTTTGGCTCTTACGTATTAATTCATTATTTGATAATGTACTCGTAAAATGCAAACAATTAAAAAAAGCGGGCTAACCACTAACTGTTTCAGCACTTCACCTGATGTGTGAAAGTTTATTGAACGTATTAAAAAAAACTACCTATAAATAGGGAAGACAATTTTGATACATGCATTGTTTTTCTTTTTAAAACCCACACTGCACTTTTTTGTATTTAACGAAGGTGTTCAAAATGCCGTCCTCCACTTTCCACACAAGCTTCATTACGACGCATCCAGTTTCTTCTTACTCTAGGTCCTCGAAGTTGTCAATTTATTATTACAGCCGCATTAAAATTTTTTTCGCGAAGTTGTGCTTCAGTTGTTATTGGACCATCAGTTTAAGTTCTCCCCAGTACCAGAAATCCATCAGATTGAGGTCAGGAGATGTTGCTGGCTATTTTCATGGATCAGGAGCATGACTAAATGACGCCTCTAAAAATGTGTGGTGGTGCCCCGTCATGAAGAAACCACAAATCCTGTCTCCGTTGTAATGGCATGTTGTCTAAGATCTGTTCCAAAAGTTCTGGTATGTTATTGGCGAGAAAGCTATTGTATCCTTCTCCTGACAATTTTTGGGGTAACTCGAAAGCGCCAATTACCTGATCGTCAAGAATACCCGCCCAAATATTTATTTTAAAACGTTGTTGGAAATGACCTTCACGAATGGTATGAGGATTTTCTTGGGCCCACGTGTGAGTATTATGAAAATCTAATGTCCCGTCTCGCGTAAAAGTACATTCGTCCGTCGCTAGAATGTTTGTTCGATGAACCGATTGTAAAATTCTTGTCGCTCTTATGAAGGGCGACAACTTTTTTTACGCGTCTCGGAGTTTTCTCTTTCAATCAATGGTTTTCGATGAAACCGTGGTTTGAAGTTTCCAAATGAACACTCTGTATATATATTAAGTGACACCCAGTTTAAGTGGTTTTATTTTAATAAAAGTTGGTGACTGTATTTATCTTACTGTAAATAACAAGTGAACAAATTTTCAGCCTTATCAGTTGGACATTCCGGTTTTTATACTGCTTTTTTTTAATTCACTAACGCTCTAAAAATGAATATTTCAGCCGCAGTAAAGAATCAACGTTGGTGGATGTTGGTTCTTGACATCCTTTACGATCGGTTACGATGCCTAGAGTACGGAGACCTGTACGATTTCGTCAACTTAGTGAGATTGATAGGAGCCGTATAGTGAGACTTCGGGAAGCTGGACTTTCTTTTCGGGCAATTGCAGTTAGAGTGCAAAGAAGTGTAGACACTGTAGTTAGGTGTTGTCAGGCATGGCTTCGAGAAGGCCGTACGCAAAGAGCAAGTGGCACTGGACGCCGCCGTAGAACAACAGACCGTGAAGATCGACGCCTAAGATTATTGGCTTTAAGGGACCGTTTCTCCACTACCAGGTCCATTGCAAATGAATGGTTTGCAGAACACGGAAGACCTATTGGCATGCGAAGTGTTTACCGACGAATGAGAAGTTTTGGCTTGTTTTCATACCGGCCACACTGGGTCCTCCCTTTAACTCGAGAACACCGACGTAATCGCCTTGAGTGGTGCAGACAACGGTCACTCTGGGATCAGGAATGGAACAGTATTGTCTTTAGTGACGAGTCTCGATTTTGTTTAGGCATGCACGATGGTCGTGCCAGGGTTAGAAGGCGACGTGGTGAAAGGAGGAATCCACAGTTTTTTGTTGAAAGACATGTTCATCACACTGTTGGAGTTATGGTTTGGGGTGCTATAGCTTATGGTTCCAGGTCACCTTTAATCTTCATCAGAGGTAACATGAACGCGCAGCGTTATATCCACGAAGTTCTAGAACCCCATCTTTTACCCTATCTTGACACCCTGGCAGATCCAAGTTTCCAACAAGATAATGTCCGACCACATGTTGCAAGAGTCACAATAGACTTCTTTCAACATAATGATGTCACATTGTTACCATGGCCACCAAGATCTCCAGACTTATCCCCAATTGAGCACGTGTGGGATATGATGGGTAGGAGATTGCTCAATTTGCAACGTCCTCCTCAGACTCTAGAAGCACTTCGAGAGGAGTTGGTGGTTGCCTGGAATGATATACCACAGGAGGACATTGACCACCTGATCAGAAGCATGCCTAGGCGCGTTGGAGAATGCGTAGCACATCAGGGTGCATCCACACATTATTAAAGGTCAAAGGGCTATAAAGCAGTGCAATCTTTTTGAAATTTTCATCATTTACTTATTATGCTTCATTAAGTACTTATACAAAATTTTATTAAAATAAAACCATTTAAACTGGGTGTTCGGATTTATATGTCACTTAGTATATATTATAATAGACAGTTTTACACGGAATGATTCTCTTGAGAAATTTTTGTCAAACTGCACTTCTTTTTGAGAAATATTGGCTTCCATATTAGAGGTGAAATCGGTATAAAATACTGTTCTGCTTTGGAAATACGTCGAAGTTAGAAAAGTTTGGCATTGAAAAACAAAAATATGTGTCTGTAGCATTTTGAGAGAGCGATCCTAATTCACCGTAATATTATTTGAACAATGTTAATACATAGTCCTTATTTGG